AGAAATCAAGAAAATCCGTTCAGCTATTTGCAGGTCATCAGCTCTTTTTTAGACGGTAAAAGTATATGAACAAATTCCACAGATCTATATTCAAAACTTAGTATCTCGTTATCAATGACATTGCAACTATTACATATTACCTACATATGGCAATTTTGGCCTGAAGCTGTAGTGTCACCTGGAATCTGCAAAATACTTAACTCGTCATAAAACTCCTGCAGAGATATTTTGTGTAGGCTCAATGCCTAGGTTATTGTGTTGGAAGTTTTTAATTTTTTTTATTTAAGAATTGTAATGACACTTTATTTTAATGCTCATGAAATAAATCTATATTTATATCTATAAAACATTTTCACTGAGTAACTGTCTTTCTAAATTTTAAAAATCGGAAATAATCTTGCTCGTAAGAAATGAAGAGAGACGCCTGTCTGCCAAGTTTATAAACATGTTAAATTATTGATCAGAAGGCGTCAGACAAATTCAATTTCGAAAGAGATTGTCGTCGTTCGTTTATAGATAGGCATAGAATTATTTATATGAAATTCGAAGACATTTACACAATTCTATGTTCTTATTGTATTTTATATCCTTATTTACTAAGTTAGTAAATAAAATGAATGATGTATCGTAAAATATAGACTTAATTTATCATGCAAGCCATCTTTATTTTTTGTCTTTAAGCTGTTTGACATGTGTCACTTGAAAATAGCATACGTACTCGTAATTGATAATTAATTAGAATTATTGTTTTGGTGCTAAAAAGTGGGGTTAGAATAAAAAATATTTGCCCCCAACACGCAATATAAATACGCATGCGTGGGGGCTGAAATCGCTCGCGTCCGTAGGTGTGATCATATGTGACCCAGTGGGTCATAGGAGTGTGATCATATGTGACCCAGTGTTAACAGGGAAGATATTCGAAATAAAACCGAGCCTGCACATAGCCTTCAAGACGGCAGCCCCACCAATGGGATAAGGTATAGTTGGCTAATCACCTGTTCTTCTACAATAAAAAAAATATGAAACCGGCGGCTAGTATTGCCGACTGCTCTCAACATGCCGTTGATAATGGTAATGTTAGGGCGAATTAGGTACAAGGTGACGAAGGTCTTCGCCGAGAACCGTAAAAAGAAGAAGAAAACGGAAAAAGCCTCTAAAAGACAAGGAAGGCCGCTTTCTTGTAACATCAGAGGGATACCTTAGACGCTGGTGAGAGCAGTTTAAATAGATCGTCCGTGGCCCAATAAATGCTAACGTCCGGTTCCAAAAAAATGCTAACACCACTTTTACAGAGCATCTAGCGAGGATTACCAAAGCTAGAGCAAATTACGTACACTAACTCGGAAAATAAAGCTCAAAATATTCCGTTCCAAAATCAACATCGTGTAGATGAAAACCGTTATCGCCCCAGAATGATTCGCGAAGCTATTGAAATTAAAAAATATCCAAACTTCAATAGAGAAGATGGCTGGGTACTACTATCATCTTGGGATTCTATAATAAACATAATAAAATCTAACAACAAAAACAAATATAACAGACCAGTAAATGTAGTTCATACTGTGTGGATCGCAATAATAACAGTAATTCTGATTAATATTTTTTGTCTATAAAGGTAGCAATAGTATTGCTTAATATTTTAACTTTAAATAATAGCAATCTAAATTAATATTTTAACTTCTTTTAAATTACATATGAAACAATAATATGGTTTAAATAAATAATCAATATTTTTAATATTCTTTATAACTACTCGTATAATACATAAAATTATAATAGTAACACTAAATAATATTAGTAGTTATAAAGTTTAAAAAATAATTAGTATTTATAATAATAACAGCTAAAATGAAATATATAAAATTGTTATATTTAATTATAATAAATTTTTTAAATGTTTTGAAATAAAAATCGACAAATATTTATTGTAAGGTACTTTGGTGCCTTTTTTGGATTTTTGAAATCATTTTTGTAAAATAGTGGGTAGGCACTGTCTGTAACCATCATGTGTTTGAGACGTCTATAACCTTAGTCTCTCCCGTGACCATGATTGCTGTAAAACATTCGAAACGTCGGGAATCAAAAATCAAAATAAATCCGCGAAATAATCCGAAAAGATAGTTTTATTTAAAATGTCAAATATTCGCGTAAATCTAAGAAAGTATTAGTTGTATCTAAATAATTAAGTTGAAGATTTTCTTTTAAATTTCTTTATTTTTGAAGTTTTTATATACTTAACTTATTACTTAGTTATTATAACATCACGAATAGTTTTTATTATACCTATGCTGAATTTTCTCCTTATTCACAGCGGTAACTTTATTATCATATCTGTACAAGTTATTTGTTGCTGGTAAAAAGAATAAGGAAAAAAACCGATATTGAATTTAGAACGATAAGAATTTTTAGAATTTTTCGTTATAATTAATTTTTCTTGCGCAATTTCAAACAAAGTTTTGGGGGACTATTAATCATAAATTTATCAGTGAAACTTTTTAGCTAGTCATATATTTTGTAACGATTATCCATGGACGAATTAGAGACTAATTTGTTCATGCGATTATCATTTACCAAACAATGATTATATTCTTAAGTGTACTCTGTACATATATTTAACCTACATGTTTATTTATATAGTATACATTTTAAACGAGCTTATCTTTTTATATATCTATACTACTATTATAAAGAGGAAAGATTTGATTGTTTGTTTGTTTGTACTGAATAGGCTTCGAAACTATTGAACTGATTTAGATGAAATTTGGTAAGAAGATAGTTTGAGACCCTGGGAAGGGCATAGGATAGTTTTTATCCCGGAAATCATCCCTTAAAGAGTGAAAATGGGGATGAAAGTTTGTATGGAGAAGCGACCTAGGGACGAACCCGAGCGAAGCGAGGGTGATTGCTAGTAAAAAATAAATGTGTTTATTTGTAATATATGTATTTCTAAACTATACAGCCGATTGCAATGAAACTTGGTAAATTGTTGTGGGTGCGTCAGCAAACATTTGTAACATACCCCGTGTATACTATACCATCAATATACGGTAGTTGGGCACGAGTAGTACTTGTGTAGATTTATTAGTTTCAATGAAACATGTTCGACTACTAAATAATTTATTTGGATTTTTTATATAAGTACTAGCATAGCCCGCGGCTCCACCCGCATTCAGATGACCAAAAACCAAATTCTTAGGTTTTACATATTAGTATACTCTTACACTGCAGTTTTTGTATTTTTTCTCAGAAATGAGGTATTTTCCCGCGGTTAAAAGTATCCTATATGTTGACCCGGATAACCAGCTATCATCATACCAAATTTAATCAAAATCTGTTCAGTGGTTTTCTGACAAAACTGACAAAAATTCTAAAAACTATAGATTCAGACTCTGTATCGATAATAATGTCTATTTCAATTAGATTTTCCAAAAAATATTTAATATACAGATTCGAATTAGTTAAAATTTTATTATCTGTATTGATGTATGTATAATGCATTATGCAATAATGCATATTATTATATTAAACCAATTGTTATATATAAAATTTCGTGTATCTTTGAAACGGCTCTAACCATTTGGATCAAATTTTGTATGTAGGTCAGGTTTTGCTTTTAAAGTTTACCTTTATAAGTGTATTTTCTGAAGAAAAAAAACGCAATTTTTATATCTTTTCCGAAAATAACACCGGTCACACACGGTCGCTCAGGTCCCGTCACTTTATATATGAGTTGAGACTTTATGGTTACTGCTAGTTTTATTATTAAGCCATAAACTTATATAAAATGTATCAAGAAAACCATCGACATAAAAATGAGAATAAGCTCTAAAACAAAGCCTCGGACTATTAAAAATAGAAGAAAAGGAAATATAATAAAGGTAGCCTTGGACCGGAAGCCATTTCTCCGTACGTCGTTCCGATGCGACGATATCCGGTTCTGCTCAATTTCCTGAACCGTAGAAACTTTATTGACTATTTTATCTTTGATTTTACTATTGTCTGCATTATTATCTCGTAACTGTCATTGATATGTTAACATTTTAGCCTCGTAAAATTTGTTGCTTAGATTTTTTCATTAAATTTACTATTTATAGGCTTTTATTGTACTCATAATAAAAGTTTTCTATTATTTCTATCAATATTAAAAAAAAATTGGTACGTTTTATTTCATCTAAATATCAAAACGAGTCAATGGGCTTCACCTTTTTATTTTACTATGCTAGTGCAACTTCTGACTTTCTTGCTGATAAAGTTTCATATTTTATCTTTTGATATCTAAAACTATTCTATCTTTTTAGAATGCATTTTCACAAAGCGTAATGTTCCTTTACTTAATGTAAATAGACTTTAAAAAGAATTTCTCTATATTTGTGCTATTTTAATAAAAATGTATTCGATGGAAAGATATTCTGGATTTGTTGCAAGGTACAATCAAATTCATATTTTCCATGAAGTATTATAGTATAACTAGCATTGCCCGCGGCTCCGCCCGCGTTCAGATGACCTAAAACCAAATTCTTAAGTTTTTCATATTAGTATACTCTTACATTGCAGTTTTTATATTTTTTCTCAGAAATGAGATATTTTCCCGCGGTTAAAAGTACCCTATATGTTGATCCAGATAATCAGCTATCACCATCCCAAATTTCATCAAAATCCCTCCAGTGGTTTTTCTGTGATGCGGTAACAGACAGACAAGCAAAAATTCTAAAACTATAGATTCGGCCACTGTATCGATATTAATGTCTATTTCAATAAGATTTTCCAAAAAATATTTAATTTACAGATTCGACTTAGTTTGAATTTTATTATAGGTATGTATAGATCATATCTAATTGATATTGTCATAGAAAAGTTTAGTGAATAATTTTCAATAGACCTTTTTTAATATGTGGTCTTGTTTTTGACAATTATATCTGCCAATTATAACGTTTGACTATTGTGAGAATACGATTTTTTGAATAATTTATTTATTTAATCATATAAATAATATTTTATCAATGCCGTGGGGTTGGGAATGTAGGGCGAAGCTGGTGAAACAGCTACCAGCGAAGCCGACAGAGAAACGTGGCCAATTATCCAGTGCTGTTCAAAATCCTGGACCACATCACTATGAAATGCCTGAAGTGTATTGTAAGTGAAGTGATCGTTATTCATTGTATCATTGTATCATTCGGGCTACAAAGAATATAGTGAAATATTAGACTCTTACAATTTTTACAGAATGTGTATTTTTGTGGTTAATTTTGTAGTTAATGATTAAATGAAATATTTGTGGAAGCCCTGTGTTAAGCTCAATAACATTATAGTGCAGTCACTGAAGTAAATCAACAAATAATTGCTACTTAAGAATATTTTATTAAATAACTTAATAACTATGTCATCAGTACATTCTGTATATAGTTAAACTTTTAATACTTAAGAAAGTTCGTATTTCTTTTAATACGAAGTTTAACAATATATTGAATCAGAGTATTTAAACCAATTCAATAAATCAGAAATACAGTGAGATATGTAATCTTATCTCTTTTTCTTTGATATCTCTTTTTTGCTACATAAAATACAACACGACACGTTTTTTGTTGAGCTATTATCAGAAAATGTTATTTACACATACGAATAACTTGAAGTGGTTTTTCTCGATAAAGGATGAAGCTGATTTTCGATTATAAATAAAAAGTAAATATTTATCTTAAATATGCAAAAAAGGTAACTATTCAGTTACGTAAAGCAATTAATTAAATTCAAACATTTTAAATTCAAATATTTTTTTACTTATGAATAAAGTAACTTTATTTAGTCCAATCAACTAAAAAGGCTTTCATCTCTTCCTATATAAAGTAAAGTGCCGAAAAAATCGATGAGTAGATAAGGTAAAAACAAAATTAAAAGAATATTTTATAATATATATTTATTCATAGAGATTAAAAATATTTATTTTAGTATTTTAAAGAACAATTTTTATTTATTAATATTTTATTTAAAAATATATTTTATCCTTTTTTATTTTTAAGGTGGCAAAGGTAATTCAGGCATAAAAAGAGCTCCCGCGTATACTTTTGGACAGCAGACACCTGTTACTTTTAACAAACCAGTAATTTTGGGATGTGCACCAATGTTGGATATAAGTGGGATGGGACCTAAAGGTATCCTTTAATCTTCTGTTACAATGATAAATATTATAAGTAATCGTTGTTAATAATTAATATATAAATGAATAATAATGATTTACCAAGTAATTAATGGACTATACATCTAGGTCAATATAAAATCAAACATGACACAATCTCACCGCGAATCGACCCGCAAGAAAAAGGCAAAAATCCTGGTCCTGGAACTTACGTTCCTCGAAGTGAAGTCAAATATAAACGACCACCAGCATATAGTATGCGCCCAGCGGCACGACCAGATTACCAGCCCAGTGACCAATGGAGTCCTTCACCAAATATGTATTTACCGTATTTACCTGGGAAAAAGTAAGTCAAGTGAGATAATTGAGATGACTGGCATTCGAATGTGTCACGTTCTTTAAAGTGGCGTTTATAGCGTTAGTAGTCGCGAGTTCAATTACTGCTCAAGGGAAATATTTGTAAAAATATATTTTCATTTAACACTAATATCAAATCGCGGTATTAGAAACCAATTGCAGATAAGGCCTTTATCGGATATGGCGAAATCGAGGGTCGGATCGTTATTCACCATATTGTACTACCATTGAACTTAAAATTTGTAACGGGTTGAGTTTAATTTATAAGTTATAGTAGTAAAGTAAAATGAAAAAAATATATCTATCCAACATTTATTTTCCTGAAAAAAGTTTGTATTGCATAATATTACCCAAACAAATGTAGTTCAACTAACAAAGTTAATTTGGCAACTTATAAATTAACAAAGCCAAACAAAAACTAATTATATTCCATATCTATTGAACATAACTTTTTCAAAATAATTTTTACTTATGTATTTAAGTAGAGCTGTTGCTTAAATTTTTACTATCAATAAAAAAAAACTTAAATATAACTCTCTCGAGATACATATTATGTGACAAAAACTACGGATAAACAAAACATGACTGCATTGGTTGTATTGAACGATGTCATTGTCATTTTTTTCTCAAATTGTAATTATTTTTTTTTTAAATAAAAAAATAATTAAGTAACGTACAAAAAGTACTGCCTATATAATGTATATTGAATATCCATCTTACCAATAATACCCCGTCAGTAAGATGTTAACAAATCGCATCTTTTTAATATAATAAATATTTTTTCTGTTAGGAAATCTCCGGCATATAGTTTTGGCAGTATGTCTAAAGAATTGAGTGGGCCAGCTATTCCAAGTCCTGGAACGTATGAACCTAATTTTAAATATATTGAAAAAAGTAAGCCGGCATATTCATTTGGAGCCCCTTGGAGATCTTTGAAACCTCCAAAAATTCCACCTCCGAACACATATTGTGAGAAGAAAGTGAGTCATTATTTTAATGAGAATTTGCAAAATTTATATTTTAAATTATATTTTTTTCATAATATATATATATATATATATATATATAATATTAAATAGATTATTTATTGTTTGTTAAATAAATATAAATGTACATTAATTCCTTTAGCTATTTACCAAAGAGGAATATTTTTCCTCCTTAGGTTCTATTCCTTAAGGGGTAAGTATACTAGATCAAACTTACGTTAGACCTAATGCTATTTTTATTTGTCAGCTATCACACTTATTGTCCAGATTTATTTATAACGATTTATTTTATCTATTAATGTTTTCAGTTCATGTACACAAAACGTACGATACCAGCACCATCATTTGGTATTCGTCATACTCCTTACCTTGGCAAGCGGCACGAATATCTTAAGTCATCTAAACTTGATCTTGTTATTAGTGAATTATAATTTTATTTTCGTAGATACTCTCTGTATTATTTGATATTCTACTTAATCTTAATTTATATTGTACTATTTATATAGCAATAAAATTTTGATGAATTTTTTTAAGTGTTTTTCATAATTAGACTAGGATTTTTTCTCATTAAGGCAATCGAAAGATGAAAGTTTCTTTTTGAAACAAAATTATAAACAGATCAGAACATTATTTTGAAAATGATTTTTTAAGCTTATTGATCTTTAAAATATACATTCAAAATGTCGTAATCAATTGATAAAAGCTTTTACCATCACAAACAGTAAATACGAACTGTGAAACTCAAATATAACTTCAAGACTTTAAATGGTTTTCACTCTTGATTCCACATATATTTGATTTTGTATGATTAGGTTTATGCTTACTTCGTGATAGCTCTTACTAAATCTTGTTTGAAGAAGCAACTCAAATATCGCTTTTGTGTTTACATTTTGATTTCAGTTGTGTTCATATACGTTCGCTTACAATAACAGGTTGCTTGGTAAATACATGAAGTAATGTTGTTTTAGTGATCGCGCATAAATGTTTTGACGCAAAGGAACTGTTCTTATTGCGAGTCTACGAAATTTGAAATTAAATAAACATGTGGCCTAAACTAAACTGGCGTTTGCAATGGCTTGTAAGAACTAACGTAACGCACGAGGAGAATTTTTACATATAAAAGATCTCATTGTCCAAGATATTGATAACATGTTAATTTAAGTTACAAGTTATAACTCGGGTATTTTTTCACAGGCAAGACAAGATGATGGGTAATCGTTGAACATGGACGAATTAGAGACTGGACCTGACATAAAATACAAATGTATGAAAACTAGTTCAACCAAGTGACGCATAACGCACACAAAGATTTTATTACATTATTATAAACACTGATACACAATACAATATTTCTAGTGCTTGAACGTAATCGATAAAATACATATATCGATGAACTAATGAATGACATTTTAGACATTTGTAAGCATAGTCATCATATTTTACTACTTTTAATTTAAAATATCTGTAATTATATAATAAATTAAAATAAATGAATTAATGAGGCAATAATAATGTGTCAAATAATAATTAAATAATAAATAAATAAATATGTTGGGACATTAACACACAGCGCCATCTAGTTCCATGGTAAGCTACGAGGCTTGTGTTATGGATACTAGATAGTTGATACACTACACATATATAACTTTAAATACATACATATTATAAATATAAACACCCATGACTGGAGTACAAACATTTGTCATCACACAAATGAATGCCCCCAGTGGGACTCGAACCCGCGACCGCTGGCACAGCAAGTAGGGTCACTACAAACTGAGCCAAACATGTCATCAAACATATTTTTTTTAATTTGATTTATATAAATACGATGGCATTGATGGCTACATTCTGTTGGCCTATAATAATGTTAATGAACAAATGAATATCGGGTGTATATTCCATTAATATATAATAAATATTATTTTGTAAAGATTAAAAAAATATTAAGCTAATTTAATTAAATAAAGTGATTTTGTTGATTCTGTTATTGAACTATTTTAATTGGCAATTGATTGTCTCGGGTAGTTATAAAAATATGATACTTTCCTAATATTGCTCAGTTCTTAATAAACATTTGTGAAATTAGGAAAAAGAAAAAATGATCGCAAATTGTGAAAAAGTGAGTGTTGGATCGTGAAAGTAAAATAATTAGTGCAAGTGGTAAAGTGTTTTATTACAAATCGCCAACCCAGAAGTTTAGTGCTATAACATTATTGTTTGATTTTGTGTAATTTATGTGTTGAAATAAAATGATCTTTATTATTATTACAATGGAATAATATTCCAGTGTATAAATGTGGTATAAAAAAAAAAGTACACATACTAATTATAATTTTTGCATTTATATTTTTATTTGATTCAGAAAATATTATAAATTTATTGTCATCAGATTGTAGGATACTGTGATAAAATATTTTATGTTATTGTACTGTACAAATAACACAATTCGTTCAGTTATTTCGTCAAATATCGATATATTTTTCGACATTGTCAAGCACAAGTCGCTGTCAAATGGACTCACTCGACAGTTTTGTCATTTGTTCTGAATGGTATAATCCTGCCCGTTTATGATGGTTGTCAGATGTCAACAATACATAGAAATATCGACTATATTTAACATAGTTGGATAATATGACATTTTATTTTAAATTAAATTGAATTTTGTGATAAATAACAATAAATGTAATAAAATAATGTATTTACAAGTGAAAAGAAATAGTGTTGCTTCCGCCGTTATAGTTTTCACACCATTTAACAGAACATTTAGTCATTTTTGGGAGATGTTTTGTTGACAAGTAAGTGCTTGAGACTGACACAAAAAACAAACGACCTAGGCTAAAATTACCCTGGTTACTAACATGACCGGTGAAGGTACGTCCGCTTATATGTCTGGTCCAGTGGTTAATTCGTTCATGTCGTTGAAGTATAAAAGTTTTTAAAATTGTATTGAAATGACAAATTTAACCGTTAGACCATAGAATCATAATATGTTTTTCCCATATTTTATTATTTCTGCTCTGCAAAGATTGTAGAATGGCATCTTGTCTAAAGCTTAGAAGTCAAAGCGTCGAGGACTACTTCACAGTATGAAAATAAAACCACTAATTAACGTAAAAAAACCTTATTATTACAAATGAAAAGTGACTACAAAGTAATAAAATAATAGTTTATCACTTCACTACATATTATAAAACAAAGCCCCTACCGCGTCTGTTTGTCTGTCTGTCTGAATGCGGAGCTTTACAGGCGTGTGCCGCCACGAAATGTTTTAATAAAATGGAAAACACAAATTACTACAAAAAAGTTCGTGATAGTATATGTCTATATTTTAAGGTGGACTCACAATAGCTATTTTTATGGTTCTCATATTGGGTCTTAAATATTGCTTTATTTGCGAAGGTGACATAGTATAAATCCTTATCTACATAAATATATTAGACAACTTAAGCACTTCATTTAGATCAAAACTAACCCTTAGACCATTTAAATTAACTCGGAATTAATATAACTTAATACGGGGCCCGGGGGCAGTAGCAGATGGGGGCGAGGAGGGCCCTAGCATGTTTCTTTCACGTAGTCAATCATTTTAAAGTTAAAAGTAGCATTTTTGTTTCATGTTTGCTTTAGGTAGATACTTATTGTAGGGCTATATATAAATTATGTTTTATTCCTAAAATATTTAGAGTTCCAGCGAGAAAATAGAAACCTTTAAATTACTCAAGAACCGAATTTATTTTTTATTAAAATTTCCAATTGAAAGAAATAAAGAGTTATTACGAAAACAATATATTATGGAATTATTCGCACCTAGAGAAGACCCGAGCTAATCGTGTATAAGTCGCTAGTTTATACTATTTTGAAGTTAGCCGCCAAGAATGGTACTCATCACCAAAAAAGACTCGATATATGTATGACGTAGGTACATGAAAAGTTTATAAAAATCTAATAAAAAGTTAATACTAAAGAATCACAATGTAAGTGGTTTATTTCTACTAATCTATTTATTCAGTTCACAGTTCCGTTAAATGACAGGTTTTTTTTCCAAATATTTAGATGAAATAAATTCTAGCTTTTATACTTTCATATTTTTTGGTAGCGAGTATATTCTTTTTTCGATTATAATTGTTGATCAAAATGTACGAATTTTATTTTTAGGCGTTAATTCTATTTATTTCACCAAATGAAATATGTAGAAAGCTGAAACACTGGAAAAAGTTAAATGCGATATACAATAATATTTTTTAAATAAAATTAAATGGAGTGAAAGATGCGCATTGAGTTTCTCAAAAAAAGCTTAGTATATAGATTCATTCATATGGTCATTTTTCTATTATCTACTGAGGTTTACGTATTTTTTTATATAATCCATACTAATATTGTATATGTGAAAGTATGTTTGTTTGTTTGTTTATTTGTTTGTCTTTCTTTTACGTCGACACGGAGTGACGGATTGGCGTGATTTTTAGTGTAGAGATAGTTGAAGAGCTGGAGAATGATATAGGCTACTTTTATCACGGGAGATCATCTCATTCCCATGGGGAAATACTTTATTATACAACCCAAAAAAATATTTATAACTATATTAATAACAGAATTACTTGAAACTTGGTATTAATGCTCTTCAATAAAATTAAATAAATACGTGTTTAAGCATTTTTCGGAATTAGTCCCCTAAAGGGGTAAAATAGGGGATGAAAGTTTGTATGAATACTACCTTTTTAGAGTTTCTTGTAGTTTTAGCGCGAGCGAAGCCGCGGGTTCTGCTAATACTTTATATATTTATTCCGTTACACGCTACCATTGACTTTGACAGCACTCACATGAAACTCATGAACACTGATAATATGTTTTCCTTAGAGAATTGCTTTATGTGCGCTCTACCTCGAATCCCAGACGTCGTGTTATATTGAAATGAAACAATCTTCCCCTTATAAATTATATTATTAACAGTAGGTACTATAAAATGTTGTTATCGTCAACTCGGGTTTAGGATAGTAGTTCTATATATTTCTTTAAATGGAAAAAGTAATAATTTTTTTTAAACAAAATTATGTAAAATCTTATATCACTAACGTAAAGATGTAATCTTCTCATCTACAGCATCTGTGAAAGTGTTATACTCGTATGTTTGCCTGCTCCTGGTATTTGACAAAAACAGTATTAAGTACGTTAACTTATAAATAGCTAGACTAGCTCTCCTGAAACTATTTAAGGTGCGTGTTAACAGGCTTCTCCTGGGCAAACGCGCTAGATCATAGACCTTATCTATGCCTTCGAGCTAAGATGTAGGTCAAGAGTAAGCCCACTTTTAATTAAAAAAACCCCTATACAGCTGAATCAAAAGATAACAGAGTTATTGAATTTGTATTTTGAGAGATTCTTGGAGGTCTTTTTCAATAAGCATCTATGCTCTGTCTCTCTCTTT